AATCAGTGTTACAGGAGTCAGAGTCTGTCAGTGAATCAGTGTTGCAGGGGTCAGTGTCTGTCAGTGAATCAGTGTTACAGGGGTCAGAGTCTGTCAGTGAATCAGTGTTGCAGGGGTCAGAGTCTGTCAGTGAATCAGTGTTACAGGGGTCAGAGTCTGTCAGTGAATCAGTGTTGCAGGGGTCAGAGTCTGTCAGTGAATCAGTGTTGCAGGGGTCAGAGTCTGTCTGTGAATCAGTGTTGCAGGGGTCAGAGTCTGTCTGTGAATCAGTGTTGCAGGGGTCAGAGTCTATCAGTGAATCAGTGTTACAGGGGTCAGAGTCTGTCTGTGAATCAGTGTTGCAGGAGTCAGAGTCTGTCAGTGAATCAGTGTTACAGGGGTCAGAGTCTGTCTGTGAATCAGTGTTGCAGGGGTCAGAGTCTATCAGTGAATCAGTGTTGCAGGGGTGAGAGTCTGTCAGTGAATCAGTGTTGCAGGGGTCAGAGTCTGTCAGTGAATCAGTGTTGTAGGGGTGAGAGTCTGTCTGTGAATCAGTGTTGCAGGGGTCAGAGTCTGTCAGTGAATTAGTGTTGCTGTGGTCAGAGTCTGTCAGTGAATCAGTGTTGCAGTGGTCAGAGTCTGTCAGTGAATCAGTGTTACAGGGGTCAGAGTCTGTCAGTGAATCAGTGTTACAGGGGTCAGAGTCTGTCAGTGAATCAGTGTTACAGGGGTCAGAGTCTGTCAGTGAATCAGTGTTACAGGGGTCAGAGTCTGTCAGTGAATCAGTGTTGCAGGGGTGAGAGTCTGTCTGTGAATCAGTGTTACAGGGGTCAGAGTCTGTCAGTGAATCAGTGTTACAGTGGTCAGAGTCTGTCAGTGAATCAGTGTTGCAGGGGTGAGAGTCTGTCTGTGAATCAGTGTTGCAGGGGTCAGAGTCTGTTGCCAAATCTGAGGTAAGACAATCAAAATTGTGATGAGAGAAAATTTAATGTACATTGGCACATCATGTTTCCCAAAAATCATAATTTTTGAGTTCTTGTAAATAAACAGACGTACAGTGCTGACTAGCTGGGATCAAGGACAAAAAACTTGTAGTGAATTTTAAAAACTACATGTACAAGAAAAATAAAACAAATACTCACCTCAAAATAAGCTGTTTTGATAGTTTACATTTTATTCCAGCTGAGTCATCATCAATCTTGCAAATCTAGTCAGAAATCAATAAATTTGAGTTTTAAGAATAATAGTAGATTACGGGTCACAATGGAGATTTATGGAGAAAATAAATTGATATACATGTACCCTAAATATGAGATATGCTTGACAGTGGTTCTATTTTTAAGACAATTTTACATAAATTAATCTACAACCAATCATAGACATGGAAAAAATAAGTTGATATACATGTACCCTAAATATAAGATATGCTTGACAGTGGTTCTATTTTTAAGACAATTTTACATAAATTAATCTACAACCAATCATAGACATGGAGAAAATAAATTGATATACATGTACCCTAAATATGAGATATGCTTGACAGTGGTTCTATTTTTAAGACAATGTTACATAAATTAACCCTACAGTGACTTAACATGTTTTCTTAATTCTCTGTACACAGGTGTACTATTGTAGACAATAGAATTAATTACTTTGTAAATTGTCTTCAACTAAATCTTCCAACCAATCACATTTGTGATAATTGACCTGCTATTGTTAGTATTGAATAGTGTATCTTATTCTGTCACCAAAATGGATAATTATCTTGTCACCATAGCAATAGCTAATTAGCATAAAATAAATTTGTTCACGATGATTTGCATAAAATAAATGCTTTGATTTCTGTTAAAATACGAGTAGATTTATGTGTTATTTAATATTAAATTCAAACAAAATAGATTTGGTCTGTGAATCAGTTTAAAGCAGGAAAGTCGTCACCTGTGAGTCCCTAGCAACGATAACAACACATGCTAAAAACACAAAGATAGGAAAGTCATCACCTGTGCACGTGTGGGAATTGAGTCCCTAGCAACGATAACAACACATGCTAAAAACACAAAGATAGGAAAGTCATCACCTGTGCACGTGTGGGAATTGAGTCCCTAGCAACGATAACAACACATGCTAAAAACACAAAGATAGGAAAGTCGTCACCTGTGCACATGTGGGAATTGAGTCCCTAGCAACGATAACAACACATGCTAAAAACACAAAGATAGGAAAGTCGTCACCTGTGCACGTGTGGGAATTGAGTCCCAAGCAACGATAACAACACATGCTAAAAACACAAAAATAGGAAAGTCGTCACCTGTGCACGTGTGGGAATTGAGTCCCTAGCAACGATAACAACACATGCTAAAAACACAAAGATAGGAAAGTCGTCACCTGTGCACGTGTGGGAATTGAGTCCCTAGCAACGATAACAACACATGCTAAAACACAAAGATAGGAAAGTCGTCACCTGTG